CTATTTTCGCTGCCTAAAGAACAGTCATTCTCAAGCTAAGTCTGGCATATATTTTGGGGAGACAACTTAAGAGAAATCCTTCTGTTCCTCACAACGTTTGTTTATTGAGGCAGTGCAATGTTAGCTCAACTCTCGTGGTATACAGCCTTCTATCTGTATCTCTGCGGGCCAGCCAGAGTATCTGTTCTTCTTTTCATCAGAGTGGTTGATCTGCATAACGGAAAGAAAAGATTTTCATTTATTCACTAGTCTAACGGACATTGAAGGTAAATAAAATCACATAAACAAAGTGGCCACCTAGAGAGGGGTTTGATTTAACTTACACTGTGGTGCTTGATCGCCTCCCAATTTGTTTTTTAATAATACTTGAACAATACTTAGGGAAGTTAACATAGTACTTTCAGATCAAACTTTCTGCACAGAGAGCTGCCCATTACAGTACACATCAGCCATTGCTGGCTCTTAAATTTTTGAAACACAACTATTCCAACTGCACTTTAATTGGGATGACTTCACCTATAAATAGCCACATTTGCCTAGCACAGGGTGGGAGACTCATCAATACCAGTGAACATCCCACGCCTCAACCAAGAGAAGCTGTTCTAGGCATCACATTAAAAAGGCCAACTCACTGCCCTCCAGTCAATTCTGACTCACGGCGAGCCTACAGGGCAGGGGAGAACTGCTCCTGTGGGTTTCCGCGACTGCAACTCTGTACCGGAGTAGGAAGCTTGTCTCACCCGCAGAATGGCTGGTGGCCGTCACATTAGTGATGAGTGAATTACATGTTTGAACAAATGTAGCAGGCTATTTAAAAAAAAAATTTCAGATGGTTGTTTCTATAAAAGGAACAAGTTGTGTATAGGGGTCTTAAATGTTTTATAGACAAAACAAAACAAAAACACAAAAACTGCACTAGAATCAAATTGTTCATCATCTTCTTCATCTTCGTCCTCTTCTCCCCTTGCCTCCCCACGCCCCACCTGACAGTTCTCCTCGGGGTTCCTGCTCAGTAAATGGGTGTTCATACTGAGCCAGGCTTTGGGCCCTGTAGATCTTCAATTATTTCACAGATAATGGAACACCTGAACGCAATGTTTAAGGATGCCCGATCCTTAATTGGCTATAACTTGAGCTGCTAACCACAAGGTTAGCAGATCGAGCTCACCAGTCACTTCAAGACTGCTCCTGTAAAGATTTAAGGTCTTGGAAACCTAAAGGGGCAGTGCTACTCTGTCCTGTAGGGCCACTATGAGCCTCAACGGGTTTAATAGCAGCGAGATGGTTCTTCTTTTGTTAACCTAACATTCACATAAAACAATAAGTATTTTAAACTTTAGAATTCTAGTTTTATATCTTTTCTTTTTTGTACCACGGCTTTATTGAAATATAATTCATATACCATAAAATTTACCCATATCCAATGCACAATTCAATGTTTTTAGTATATTTCAAGGGCTCTACCGCCATCAAGTCCTAGTGGTACAGTGGGTTAACTGTTGGGTTGCTAACTGCAAGGCTGGCAGTTCAAATCCACCAGCTCTGCCACGAGAGAGAGAAGAGGCTATCTGCTTCTGGAAAGATTTCCATTCTGGGAAGGTCCATGGAGTTCTACTTTGTCCTATAGGGAGTTGACTCCAAGGTAGTGGTCCCCCCACCCCCACCCTGTACAATCATCAACACAATTTATTCTAGAGTACTTTTATCATCTCCAACAAGAAATCTTGTACCCATTGGCAGCCACTTCGCATTGCCTGTCACTCTCCTGCTCCCTCTTCCTCCCTCCCCTGACCCAGATCTCAAACTCACTGCCATCGCATCATTTCCACTCAGCGCAGCCCTGATGGCAGTCACACTGCCCCTGTGGGTTCCAAGTCTGTCACTCTTGACGGCAGTGGAAAGCCTTATCTGTCCTCCTTGTTCCAGACTGAGGCAACCCCTACACTACTTCCTCTCACTGTGGCTTTGCCTAATCTAGATAGACCATAAAAATGGTATCAGACAATATGAAGGCAAATATTATGTTTGGCTTCTTTCACTTAAGATCATACTTTCGAGGTTTATCTATGAATCAGGGCTTTCGTTTTATGGCTATATAAAATTCCATGGTATCTATCTATACCACATTTTATGGCTCCCTAATCGGTTGACAAAGATTTGGGCTGTTTCCGTTTTGGGCAATAATAAATCATTCTGCCATGAACATCTGCGTATATGCTTTTGTATGAATGTTTCTTTCTCTTGAGTAGAAGCTTCTTCTCTAGAAGTAGCATTGCTGGGTCAGATGAGCACTCTGGGTTTAACCTTTTTTTCTTTTCTTTTTTATTAAGTACTTTTATTGGGGCTCTTACTTCTCTTATCACAATCCATACATTTATCCATTGTGTCAAGCACATTTGTACATATGCTGCCATCATCATTTTCAAAGCATTTTCTTTCCACTTGAGTCCTTGATATCCGCTCCTCATTTTCCCCTTCCTCCCCCACCCACCCTCCCTCCTGAACCCGTTAAGTTATAGATTATTTTCATATCGTACATTGTCCTCTGTCGCCCTTCACCCACTTTTCTGTTGTTTGTCCCCCTGGGAGGGGGTTATATGTCGATCCTTGTGATTGATTCCCCCCTCTCCCCCCACCTTCCCCTTATCCTCCTGGTATCTCTATTCTCATTGTTGGCCCAGAGGGGTTTATCTATCCTGGATTCCCTGTGTTTTGGGCTCTTATCTGTAGCAGTGTGCATGTTCTGGTCTAATCCCATTGTAAGGTAGAATTGAGGTCATGATAGTGGGGGGAAGGAAGCATTAAAGAACTAAAGGAAAGTTGCGTGTTTCATTGGTGCTATACTGCACCCTGATTGGCTCATCTCTTCCTTGTGACCCTTCTGTGTGGGGATGTCCAGTTATCTACAGATGGGCTATGGGTCTCCACTCCACGCCACCCCCTCCCCCGTTCACACTGGGTAAGATTTTTTTGTTCTGAGTCTTAGATGCCTGATACATGATCCCATTGACACCTCATGATCACACAGGCTGGTGTGCTTCTTCCATGTGGGCTTTGTTGCTTCTCAGCTAGATGGCTGCTTGTTTACCTTCAGGTCTTTAAGACCCCAGACACTATATCTTTTGATAGCCGGGCACATCCGCTTCCTTCACCACATTTGCTTATGCACCAGTTTTGTCTTCAGCGATTGTGTCGGGAAGGTGAGCATCTCAGAATGCTGGATTACTAGAACACTCCCTTGTATTTATCTGTATTTTGGAATGTAGCTACCCTACGGGTGTGAAGTGGGGTTCATTATATTTTTGATTTGTATTTCCCTGAATGCTGATGGTGTGAGCATCTTTTTATGTGCTTATTGATCATTAATATATACTCTTCGGAAAGCTGTCTCTTTAGTTATTTGTTTGTTTTACTCGGTAAGTTGTAGAGTTCTTTGAAGACAAATAACCCAAGTCCCTTATCAATATATTAATTGAAAATAATTTTTCCCCTCCATGGATTGTCTATATTTTATTGTTGTCCTTTGAGGCACAAAAATTTTTAGTTTAATAATGTCCAATTTATGTATATTTTCTTTTTTTGTTCTTCTGGGAACATGTATAAGAATCCATTGCCTAATCAAAGGTTATGGAGAGTTATACCTATGGGTTTTCCTAAAAGTTAAAAATAACTCTAGCTCTTCCATTTGTTATCTTCTGAGGTAATTTTTGTATATTGGGTGAGGTAGGGATCCAATTTTATTCTTTGTATGTGGCGATCTAATCCCAGCACCCGTTGTTGAAAAGACAAATCTCTCTCTCTCGTTGAGTGGTCTGGGAACTCTAGTCAAAATTAATCGACTGTGAATATAAGGGTTTGTTTCTGAATTTTCAATTCTATTTCATTCATCGATAATATGTCTTTACAAAAGTAGCCCACTATCTTTGTTACTGTGACTTTTTAGTAAATTTTGATATTGGTAAATGGGATTCTCCTTTGCTATTCTTAGGATTGTTTTGGCTTTTCTGTATCCTTTGATTTCCTATACAAATTTTAGGACTAGTCTGTTCATTTCTGTTGATCCAATTGGGATTTTGATAGAGATTATATTTAATTTATAGATCAATTTGGGACCACTGACAGCTTAACAATATTAAACCTTTTGGTCTGTTAACATGGGAATGCCTTTCGGATTTCACAGTTCATTAGTTTATTCTTAAATATTGTTATTCTGGTGACATACTGGTTATACCTTGGGCTGTGATATGCAAGGTCAGCAGTTCAAAACCATCAGCTGCTCTGTGGGAGAAAGATAAGACTGTCTACTCCCATAAAGAGTTTTATCTTAAAACAAAAACAAAAAACAAACATGCAAACAAATGTTTCTAAGAGTTATGTCTTGGAAACCCCAGGGGTAGTGCTACCCTGTATGGTCGCTATGAATCAGAATTGACTTGATGGTAGTGAAGTTTTTTTGTTTTATTGTTATTCTTAACAATATAGAATTATATTCTTAATTCATTTTTGGATCGTATTGTAAGTGTATATAAATACAATTCATTTTTATATGTTGTCTTGTATTCTGTAACTTTGCTGAGGTGTCATTAAAAGTTTATTTTTTTAGTGGATTTTTTGGGCAGGCTTTCTAAATACAAGATCATGTTATCTGCAAATAAACACAGTTTTGCTTCTTTGTTTTTTCTGTTTCAATCTGGATGCTCTTTATTTCTGTTTCTTGCCTAATTCCCTGGCTAGACCCTACAGAACAATATTGAACAGACATTTTAAAAGGAGACCTTATCTTTGTCTTGTTCTGGATCTTAGAGGGAAAGTAGTCAGTCTTATGCCATTAAGTGTGATGTTTTTGTTTTTTTTTAAAAATAGAGACTCTTTATCAGGTTGAGAAAGAAAGAAAAATATCAGGTTATTCACATGAATGAGTGTTGAATTTTTTCCAATCCTTTTTGAAATGCTTGGGTGAACATGATGATAATATGTTCTGTATTAGTCTAGGTACTTTGGAGAAACAAATCCACAGCAACTCATGTATAAGAGAGAGGTTTATGTAAAGAAAATGTGCATCACGAAAACATCCCAACCCAATGCTGCCCAAGCCCACAAGTCCAACATTGACCCATTAACCCAACACCAGTCCACAAAGTCCTCCACCTCACAAAACAGAGGCAAAGATGCCGACTGCAGGAGGAAAGCCGAGTCAGTAAACGAATAAG